CCCCAAAACCCCAAAACCCCATCATTAAAAGTTGATAATTAATTTTGGGTATAATGAAATAAATAGTAATTAGAAGGCAATTATTCAACTTTATATTTTTATACCTGTTAAATACAATAACTCCAGTTTATTCCTCAAAGATCATACATTCGTAGAAGTCTCTCTAGCCTCAGTAATCTTTAGCCTAACGTATTATTAAGCATGCTTAAGAGAGTAAGAAAGTTAATCAAGGATTAGTAGGAGCCACAAGTAATTTAGTAGTATCTGGAGAAGTTATGCCTGAGTTCAACGCCTCGTCTTAATATAATGGGTAAATTTTAAGGACTTCATGGGGTCAAAGAACTTAAGATTATTAAAATTCTAGGATAGCTGCTATAAGCTAATAATCAAATGACAATGGATTATAGGTTTTAATGGATAATTTGCAAATGATTGAAAACCTCAACAAATTTAACAGGGAAAAAATAGTTGAGAGGTAACTATTCGCCAAGGGAACTGGAGCTCATGGATATTTTGAACTTTCTAATGATGTGTCAAAGTATACTAGAGCAAAGTTTTTGAATGGGAAAAGTGGTAAATAAACTCCAATATTTGCAAGGTTCTCTCCATCTATGATAAATTCTAAAGGTTTTCCAGATACAGTCAGAGATATTAAGAGCTTTGATATAAAGTTTTATACAGAGGATGGTAATTTCGATTTAATGACTTAGAATAGTTAAGTAACTTTTATAAGAGATGCGGCTAAGTATCCTGATTTTATTCATAGTCAGAAAAATAATCCTCAATCTAATTTAAAGGATTACAATTCAACTTGGGATTTTCTAAGTCAGACCACTGAATCAATCAATATGCTAATGCGCTTTTATGGAGCTGAATTTATACCTGATGGTTATTAATAAATGAATACTTATGGATAGCATACTTACAAATGGATTAATGATAAAAATGAATTTACCTATGTGAGATATCATTTAATTAATAACTTAGGGCAAAACTTTTTCCTCATAGATGAATAAGCTATGGATTTATTTAAAGACCCTGACTACTTTACAAGCATGCTATTCAATTAAATTTCACAAGGAAATTTCCCAACTTGGACTCTAAAGATTTAAATTATGACTTAGGACGATGCCTTAAAATCAAAATATGACATCTTTGATTCAACTAAAACTTGGGATGCTTAGCTGATAACTGTTGGAAATATAGTCTTAAACAAAAATCCTTAGAATAATTTTGCCGAAGTAGAATAAGTTGCTTTTAATAGAGGTCATTTTGTTGATGGTATTGATTCATCTGGGGATAGACTACTTTAAGGCTTGATTTTTATGGACTAGGATAGTAACTTGTTTAGACTTGGATCAAATTATGACCAAATTCCAATTAATAAACCGTACAAGGTAAAGTAAATATCCTATAGCAGAGATGGAGCATCAAGCTTTACTTCTAATTTTGGCAATTCTACTAATTACTATCCAAATACTTTGAATGGTCCAATACCAGATGCCTCAATAAAACCAGCATTGAGCACTGCTTCAAGTACACCCTCAACATAGAAGACCTATGATGATTTTACTTAAGCCTCTTAGCTCTATAAAGATATGAGCAAATATCAAAAAGAAATTCTTGCATAGACTTTAGTTAAGGATCTGAAATAGGTAAAGAAATCTATCTAGTAGAAGGCTGTTGATATGTTTAATAAAGTTGATGTTGATCTTGGTTCCTCAATTAATAATTAGCTTTGATATTTGATAAGAATAATTAATACGCATATTAGCAAAATGATAGCAGGGGTTTTGGGGTTTTGGGGTTTTGGGG